GCAATGGGAACTACTCAGAAAGATGAACCTGCTCCATCTTGGTCCCAGTATAATAATGAACTGCAGCCAAGAAACACGCCTATTATATCTGGGCCCTTTTCCTAATAAAACAGTAGCCACGTAATTATACTTTCCGTCTACGTATCTGTCAATTCTCCCTCATAACTTTTGAACCTGATGGCCAATTTGAAACAAATTGTTCTTAAGTCTCTAAGATACTAAATTATCGCAAGTGCCTTTTTAAAATCAGTTGTTGTGCAGAAGACAGGGAACTTTTAAATGACCTCATTACAGAGAAAGATGGCAGAGCTCATCCCCTAATTGAATTGCTGGATTGCCAATCAGCTGTAGACAAGCTACACAGTGTGTTGTCTCTTGTTTAGAGGAAAAAGTTGGAGAAATAGAAGGGTACCTGGCTACTTCAAGTGAGCTTGGAGACATTGGATGAGGTGAGAAACCTGTGTATGAGTTGGTCACATTAAAATGAAGAGCTCGGAGGGGATTGTAGCAGGAGAGATGAAGGCAAATCTGTAGGCTGCCTCTATTCACACGGCAGCCCGAATATCTCTGGTCTTGTCCCTTCAGATTCCCTAGGAAATATGATGATGAACAAACGAGCATGAGGCCTGAAGTGACAATTTTAGGATTTCTCTGGAATGAAGCAGTACTTCCCGAACACACAACACCACTTCTCTCTCAGGTTCACAGCCTTGCTGCATGCTGTGTCTTTTGTTTGAGAAAGATAGCTCTAGAGCCAAAAGTAAGAATAGGTCACCTATAATCATTATGAATTTCTCTTTGGACTCTTTTCAGTTCCTACTGAGCCAGATGAATGATAGTAACAGATCCTGCAGACATAGCCTTTGGTATTTTGAGACCCTTCAGAGCCCAGGAGGAGGAGGATGCAGAATCAGCTTAATATGCCCTTCTGAGGCTCACTAAGCTCCCAGATATGCCAATGCTTTGTCCCTAAGTTGCTATTTTTTTTGAACTTCCTAATAACAGCCAAAAGAAAGAGTTATAGTAGTCCATCCTGGAGCTGACTAACATTATTAGGAACATTTATTACTAAGAATGGCATTTGCTCAAAGATGGATGATGGCAGCGGGCCACTGAACTGTCACCAAAAGCTGATAGACAAATATTCTAATGAACTGTTGCTCTTCTGACAGTGCTGATAGCATCATGAAGGGTGTGACATATTTTGAGGGCTTATAATTGTCTGCACACATTTCACAGAACAACTAAACAACTTTTTCAGGAAGATATGCTCTAGCCACAAATGTTTTGAAGGTTTCCTGAGAATCTCTCATGAACGACTGCCAGTGCAAGTTTTGAACTGGGCTGCATTTGTTCCAGCACTTAAAATGACTTTTAGTGCAATAATTGTGGCATCAAATGTTCCCTTATTCCCTTTCAGAATTTTCACCCTGTTGCTAATTTGCCTTCAAGAACCAAGTTCGTGTGGTCCATATGGAGTTAGACTACATTTGTGATATCTGATTCCAGTATGCAGGCCAAATTTATTCTTTCTACAATCAGGATGCTTTGTTAGGAGATGCTGGCCAATGTAACCACAGGTATCTAAAGAAGTCTGGCAACAGAGAGTCAAAGTTTGCTCTTTTCCTTCCCTTTCCTCATCATGCTTGAAGGCTCTCCTTTCTATAGCCTAAGCTTTCAATTGTATAGCTTCAGGGCATCCTAGTGTCCCGGCGTGCTAGACCCACTGCTGAGGCTGAGTTAGTGGCTGAGGCTGAAATACCCCCAAGGACACGAATATCCTCTCCAGCAGGGTCCGCACCTAACCCCCTGTAATTCAGGCTGATTGGGTGCACTGATGCAAAGAGGATGACCAGGTGAAAACTCCTCTGTCCAAACTTCTTCCTTTGATCCGAAATGTCAATAATAAGAAATGTTTAAGACATTCGGTGGAATCATAGCTAAATATAGGTCTTTCCCTCTCTCTCCTTTCACACATAGTTATCCCACACACTATCTAAAGACAGCAGTAGTGATTAAATGTAAAAGATGGCAGTCTTATTATTCAGTGTTCTCCTCACTCCTTCTGGAAAATTACTACCCATTCTCAATGCCGCTCATGCACAAAGGGAAAACAACTGAACACAAATCTTGCTATGAACAGCTCTGCAAAGAGGTGATTTCATTTCACCTGTGAAAGTTAGGCCTGTTTGCTTCTTATCTCCAACCATAAAGGGACAAAAACGTAACATATATCCACAAAATGTCACATTTACCTACTAAGAACCCATAGCTATTTGTAGAAGAGTGACTTCTAAGAATAGCTACTGGTAGGATGAGGATTTTGAGAGCTTAAATTGAAGATTGCAAAGGGAAGAGAAGAAAAACAGAGAAATGAAGATAGTAACTGAAAGATGCTGAATTATTTCTAAATGATAATATGCAGTATCAGAAGGAATCAAGAAACCAAATTGCTAAGGTACTTCGAAAGATCAGGGTACGAAATACTAGGCAGGTGAGTATTATGTATACATCAAGATAAGTAAAGATACTGTACGGGCATAGCTGATTTCATAGGGATGCTGGGAACAGACGTATTTGAATTTCTGAACATAATACTGTGTCACGCTCCTGAGAGGTCCATTCATCTGAGCTGTATACTGTGCTCTTCTTGGTGTGAAGAACCATGTTCTGAAGAGCGAAGTAATCTCCCATCTAACACACAAAAGTGGCTTTTATGAAGACTGTGATTCTTTTGTACTACATGTTTCTCCCCATTAAGTTTCTCTCCAAATGCAGAGCTCAATACACAACACAGTAGTAAGTCCTGAATTGATAATTTTCCATGGAGATTAGACTTTCCGTTGCTCTGACGATACTAGGTTTCAGAATTAGATGGGCTGGTTTTAGCAAGTGGATTTCCTACGGACTGCTGCTGAATGGCACTGCACAGAGGCACAATGATATTAGTGTAACTTCACTGGAGAGAGGCTTTCTTTTTGTTCAGCTTCCTGTTCCTGCCTACAGCTTTCAGGAATTACTATAATACGATAATCAGTAACATTATTTAACATTTCCCAGAATATATTATGAGAATTGTACGTATTTTATGCAAGAGTCTATAAGAATTAACAAAAAATATAGAAAAAAACAAATGGAATCACTGGCAATATACCGTTCTTGTAGCTCCCAGAGACCTTTGACAGGTAGAAGAATGTATTTTACTAAATGTTATATAAAATCAGAACAAAAGGAGTCAGTCCCTCAGTCGACTGCCTTACATGGTAATATGCATTAACAGATTTAAACTACTGTCCAAAGTTATATCCAGAACTCCTTGTAGGTAAATGTGTGTGACGCTAGTTTAGAAGTGATGCTAACTATCTCTGTGACAGTCAGAAAATTAGAAAGAGATTTTATCATTACTTTCCCTGAGATGAATTTCAGAATTACCCTGACTATGATAAACACAATAAACAAATGTATCTGGGTTTCCAGAGTGTGGGGCTCAGATAAAGACCAAATCCTCTTTCTTGATCTAGGAAAGAACTCTTGAATTGGTCTGAAGCTGGGATAGCTGGCTATGTCAGTGCTGGTCAAGGTCAGGTCAAGGCAAAGCCAAATTACTATGTGGCACCATCCATCTGCAGAAGCAGTTCTCACCGGAGTACAATAACCAACAGATGTTCTTGCTGGAGCTTTGACCAGCTTGACTTTATCTCATCCCAGCTTGACTTTATCCTTACACTGTCATTTTTGGACTCAATGAGACACAAAGCTTAATGCTACTTTTGCTTCAGCCCCCACGAGCCATTGGTGAAGCTAAAGAAGGGGGAGATGCCTTCTCTCTGCACCACATATTATTAAGAGATAATCTTATTACTCCCAAGTGGATCAGAGCTAAGTTATTGTAAGATTTTTTTAACCATATTTACTGTACAAAGCAAACTGACTCCTAATGAAACTATTAATTTTGAGTTGAAACCAAATTACTTTGGCTCAGGGTGGATACATCACTGGTAAACACAGTGCAACTTCTGTACAAAAATCAAAAGGGTTCTACCATTGTTAGGGCTTTGCTCCAGGAGCTCTGTGCTGAAGCCCAGAAGCTGTACCAGAACACGTATTTGGGTAATACAAAACATGAATGGTAGATAGGGAGAAGATAATGAAACATATCCTTCAAACAGCAACACTAGAGAGTATTTGGATGGAATAACAATGCTCAGCACTCATAAAACTTTGTAGCTTTACTGTCTTTCTGGTAAAAAAAAAATACTGTATTGAAACAAATCACAGAACATTCACTGGCAGCCACATTTTCTCACGTGTTCTGTAACACAAAAGATGAAAAGACCATCTTTCCCGTTTGTCTGGATTAAATGACTTACATTTGATGAATAACTTTTAAAATATCAGTATGCCAATGGTAATATGAACGATCATAATTTTCAGATGTTTTTAATTTGCAGTTGGAGATAAAAATACACAAACCCATTTCAATATTTTTTACATGCAGATAATAAATGTGCTGCTTCTACTGATTATCACATTGATTTAGGGTAGAGGTGTTCATGTATCATTACGTAATTTTATTTAATGTTTTTTATGTCTATGGGTAAGATGTCTTATTCCATTTAATATGTTACATCTGTCTAAAGGCCAGAGCAGATTTGATAAAAAAAAAGCTCTGCTTAATATGTTGTTAGTTATGGTTCAGTTTCCCTATTTCCCCTTAGAATTTGAACACAAAGTAAAATAAGTCTACATTTCTTTAAGCATGCAGGCAGCTGAAACACACATATTTGCATAAGCTGCAACACTTCGTGAATGGCAAAAGCCATGCAAACCACTGAGCATGAGGAATACACTGTGGATAATGGAGAGGAAAAACGGAAGATATGGAAAGGAAAAATAAACCATGCATCCATGAAAGCAATGGTAGGCACTGGTGGAAGAATAAGTGAGCACCTCAAGGTGTAGAGAAAAAAAGGACAGATACCTACCCCAACCTGCGCTATCTAGCTACCGACCTGTGGACTTATAGTATCACCAGTTGGCTCACCAAATGGATCACTGTTGGATGAGGCCTGAGACCCATCAGGCTAGAATACAAGAACATAACACCTTTTTTTCTCAACAATAGAAAGTGAAAAGTCAACACGAGGTTATTTTCATGCTGTGGGCATAACAAGTACATCCTATCTCATGAAAACCAGAAAGTGAGACCTCACTGCTGATATGTTCTCAAAAGCCATAATGGTTTCCTATAGCTGATGCAGGCAGGAAAGGACCTCACCAGTACCTGCTGGAGCCCACGCAGGAGCTGCCACAGACTTCAGAACTGCAAAAGGCCCTGAAAGCCAGTGAAACTATGTGAATCATAAAGAGTCCAAGCTTGCGTTACTTTGTACCTTTGGGTCCTTTTTTTTGTACAGACTCCCTCTTGCCTTTGGCTCATTTGGGCTCTTATCTGCCTAAGATAACTTGTGATTTAAAGTCATTGCTTGGATAACATTTCTTGCTTTGGTCCACTGAGTCTAAGGCAAAGAAATCACATACTGAGGGCCAGAACATTGAGGAATGTAACTAGGCAAGCAACTGGGATGCAAGAATGTGCAAGACAACATCAACCATCATCTTTTAACACACAAACTCTCACATCTCTTTCTGTAGCCTCAGCATGTATGCTGTTTTACCTCGAACTTCCTTACCATCAGTAAGTGAATGCTGGTATTCTAAAAAGGACATTGGATACAACTAACATATATGAACTCTGCGTTTGGTTCCTTGTATGCAATATTAGTGCATATCAACAGAAATGTCATGCTAGTAGCTATCAAAACCAAAGCAGGAAGTGAATTCTGTCTGCAGCTCCCCCTTAAATTGCCCCCAAGCCCTATTAGAATAGTTATTTCTGATACTGCCAAACAACATCTAAGTAACTTCTGTCTTTTCTAGCTAAAAAGAGCTACTCAGTATTTAGAAACCTTGTTGCTACTCACAGCCTCTTGCTCCTCACTTTTGCTTGGGCTTTCAAACCCCTCTTCAAAGAGGTCATCTGCAGCAGGATCACTGGTATGAGATGCTGATGATTTTGATGGAGAACTCTGTCTGGGTGCAGGGGTTGGAGCTAAACAAAGATTAAGGTAACAGCAACAGAATACATATCTGTTAATTTGTTCAGAAAGACACAGCAGCACAAAATTTGCTCATGTTTTAGAGCCTTCAACTTTTATTACCCCTGACAATTATTTTCTGACGAGGAGCTGTAAGAGGTAAATTTGAACACAGTAGTTGTTATCAATTCCATATATTCAATTTCATCCAGCAGTCTCCAATTAAGTTTGGCTGCATCTGGCACATGTCTTTAGGAACCAGGGAGACACCACTACATTACATTAAGGATGCATGAGTCGCCTGCCCTATGGCAGGTAAGTGAAACAGAAGGTGTCTGGCTGGCCCCTGATAAATCCGTGTCTCATGAAGTCCTCTTTTCAGCAATCTGCAAAATCCCCCATCTCCATGCTACAAACATGATAAGCTTATTTTATAGCTCTTCAATGAATTTCCCCACATGTCCAATACATCAAGCTATTAAAATAAATACCCATCTCCTAATTTCTGCAAAGTACAGCTTGAACAGGACACAAGTGAAACCATTTGCAAGGCTGAATGTCACCGGCATTTTCCAACCAGCCTGCATGTCCCTAGCACACAACATATATTACTGTCTTCTTAGAAATTAAATTTCAGACTGCAGCTAATCAGGGCTGATTTCAATGGTCTCTGGAATTCCTCTCTGATACTTTTCTTTATGGCTGGAACATAGTTAATAAGCCAGACCACACATGAAGGTTCTCAGTCCATATCTGTGTTGCAATTTATTGTATGAAGGAAAAGAAAGAAATGCTTTGAGGAGCAGTCACATCTGCGGAAAGGTATGGCTGAAAGCATATGCATACTCACGTGAATTTGTAGATGGTGTCGTGGAAGTCACAGGAGTCAAATTTAACTGAGAGATGTCAAAGTCATCACAATCATCTGCTTCCTGTGCCATCCCAACTTTGTTAAAGTAACTTGAGAAGGCCTCTGAGGTACAACTGAGGGAAGGCTGATCTGGTTTTCTTGATGGCACTGGTGGAGGCTGAGCCATCTGGAAATCTTTAAACATTTCTTTTCCCATTTTCTGTCTGGGCCTGTCTGTCTGTGGACTCGATCTGTTGGAATCACTTGTGGGTGGAACAGTAGCTATAGGAGCAATGGTACCTTGAAACATGGCTGCTTGTAAAGGCAAAACAGTTTGTGTTGGCATGAAGGCAGTTGGCTGGAACTGACCAGCTACAGATGGCCACGGTTGCTGAGTAGGAGGAAAAATACCGGGTTGGCCCCACGCTATCGGCTGTCCTCCCTGCATCACCTGAGCAACTGGAGGCTGAGCACCCATGGCCAACTGCTGTTGAACAAGTGGTTGCTGTCCCCAGAATGAGGGCAGAACAGCTCCCATGGCAACATAACCTTCAAAGAATAAAGAGAGCGGGGCGGGGGGAAAGATGAAACTGTCAAGAGTGTGCAGAAAAAGCTACACAATAAATCAGAAACATGCAGGCTACATCAGTGACCCCAGAGCTTCAACACACTTACAAAGAAAACTGAAAGACATGGCTGAATTCACATCACTGAACAAATACTTGTACACAAAAACACAGGTTGGTGGATATTGGCAATCATCTTTCCCTCATCTGAATAAAAAAGCTCTTCTCTTCTTCCTCAGTGAGTACCCCCACGGGACTGTGAAGACCTGTGTGCATGGACCTGGTCGGCAACTGGCCATCTGGCAGCTCCCTTCCGTGGTGCTCTGTCAAAGCGCAGCCAGGATCAGTTTGGTCAAACCACTTGCCAGAACCACAGCACCTCCCAAAACACTTCCTAAACTCATGCCCTTACAGCACAACCCTGCTCCTCACCATTGAGCTCTGCAGGCTCTTCTTGCTACCCTGACTGCCCCTCCTCTGCCTGTCACCTCTGCCTGTCCTGCTCCTCTCGGAGCAACCATCTCTGGGCCTGAACACGACGCACTGGGTCAGGCTGGGATGGAGTTCATCTTTTCAGAGCAGCCCATATGCTGCTAAAAAAGGGGCATCCAGAGGAAGTGGAAGGAAGGAAGAGGACACCTAGGACTTCCTCCCCTCTGCGTAGCTTTGCTGCAGTTCCTCATCCTTTTTGCTTTTATTCTTTGTCGGGAAGAGCAACCCACCAACACCAGCCAACTCCTGCCAACGGGACAGCTACAAAGCTGGTTCTAAGTTACAGGGAAGGACCTTCATGTATGTTAGATGACAGCTCAAGGGCCCTCTAATGACAGCGCGACCTTCTTGCAAGAGAAAGACTCTGTGCCATCTCTTCTGACACAAGTTACAGTTCAAACCATTGGGACTCCAAAGAGCAAAGCAAGTGTCTCAAATTGCATAATAAAAAGACCGACCCCAGATGAATTTAGATTAACACACCCACATTTGGTTATTACCCAGTTACTTGAGAACATCAAAAAAGATCCTGAGCTTCTGCTGTACTGCATACCTAATAAAAACAAACTGCTTCAGGTATTATGCTAGCATAAACCCCCTCTAGCTGGGGAGGAAATTAAAGATTAAAACTAAAATTATAACCGCTTCCTGTCAGACCTGAAGCTTTCTTTCAAGCTACTGAGAGTTTGACTTGTGTATGAATTACATGATCAGGTGCTTTGTTATTTACAATGAAAAAAAAAATAAATCTGAGACTAAAACTACTGTAAACAATGTTACAAATTAAACCACATAATACAATTATGTTCCACTGATAGAAGTATTATGCTTTACAGATACGCTGTTTCACATTTAAATTAATGATTTACTGCTAGTACTTTACAATATGCAACCTCTCTTTTACTTTTAATACTGTCATAGCTTTAAAACTCTTGTTTCTAACCTGAGGGTTTTTCCGAGCCTGCCTGTACCTCTTCCTCTTTGCTTTATTTCTAGGCTGTTTTGTAATGCTAAATGTAAAGGTGGTTGCAAAATTGTAAAGGGAAAAGCCCAAAATAAAACAAAACAAAAACCAGAAACTGAACTTTGAAAGACCAAATTAACGAGTGATGAAAGGAACAGTAACTCAGATACATATCTATTTCAATGGACAGCTATGATGGATTCTCCAGATGTCCTTTTATCTTGCTCCCACTGTAACCTCATCCAAGCAAGCGAGGGTTTTCATCTGACATTATCCCCAAACATTTCACCATCAGTGTAACCTTTCTGAGACACGGTGGCTAATCTGATGCTGCAACGCAGCCCATCAGAGGAGGAGTTAACCAATTAGAAAGTCACTGTTGAATGATTCAAGGCACTCTCCCTCCTCCTTTTTTTCCCCTAAGTGGAGCCGAGAGCACAGTTCTTGCAGTGCTCCGAGTATCCCAGGGAGAGACCAGCAGTCAAAACCACATGCCTTGCGCGTCTGTGCAAAATGCTACACAGCTTTTGAATTTTGAGCACTTTGAGGAACACGGAAAAGTCTAAAGGAAATATCAGGATTTGACTAAATGGAACACATTTGAAATGCAATCAAATTCTCCATGTCTCATTCTCAATTTACTGGAGACAGCACAGGATATTCATTGGTACTACAAAAAAAAGCAAACCTAAACTAAATGCTTTTTTCTCTCTTGCTACCGTACCTAGGAGGGATGTTATCCAGATGGCTGAACTATAACTGAACTCCCAGCGACTTTGTTGGCTTTTGTTTTAAAAAATGGGGGTAAATTCAAATTCAAGTACTCTCTGCTTGTTAAAGACTTGTTTTGCGTCACCCTGCAGCACTGTCCTCAAAATCCATCCCCACTTCCATTGTCCTAAGTTAATGCCCTGAGTACTGAAATGCAAACCAGTGCTGAGAACTGATCGCCAAATTTGAGTCGAGCTTATATTTCCAGTAGATTTCTTACCTGAGGGTACGGCAGCAGTGCTGAAAGGTACAGAACCAAACATGTCTGTACTAGCAGGAAGTGACTGGGATGAAGATGGGATAAAGGCATCACCTGGAGTAGCAGGAGTCTGCAAGAAGACAGGAATAAAATACAATGATGACATATCAGTTGCAGCTTCTGCAGCACATTCTTTGCTGTCACATCATCCGTAACTCTAAAAAGACAGGTTTGGAGGGAAGAAAGAGAAAGAAAAAAGAATGGTAAGATGTAGAAGGAAAGAAGCAATAGAAATAAGAGTATTAGAATTTGCTGGAGACAGGAGAAAAACAAAGAAAATGAGAGACTTTGTACCAGAGGGAAAAATCAAAATAAAATTTGCCTGGAATACATCACATGCAAAATATTGACATAATTTTTTTCTCCAGGACATAGAGACTGCTAGGTGTTAGGTGACAACCAGCAGAGGCAGTGACCAAGGCATTAACATAAGAAACAGTAAAGGCAAATGAAGTATCTGTCAGATTTATGGAAAAGTGAATAAATACTGCTTCCAGTTAACCAACAGGACCAGAACCATAGGTCTACATTAAAGGAGAAACCCAGCCCAATTGAACAAGCTGAGGATGATGAGACAGGACTTTGAGCATCTAGTTCCAGACATGTTCCAGAATACCATGGAGATCTGAAGCTCCTGATTTCACAGCGCCTCAAGTTTTCTCAGTATACTCGTACTCCCCTATAGCTTAATGTAAGGTTCAAAAATTTTATAGGAAAGTTATTGTGTTTTCATTTTACGATGCAGAAAAGCATGTTGAGAAAACTTTCTTTGCCCTCAAAACACGTTCAGCCCTCTCTCTCTTTGCTGTTTTATCTTCCTTCCTTTAACAGCAGTTCTGGGATATGTGCTTGTTGGCACCAAAGAGACATGATATATAAGGCTGTAACTGGATCTTCCTGCAGTGCAGTGGAGAGAGAGAATGCAGTGAAGCATGCACCTCTGATAAACACCAGGGAAGGAGATCTGCAGCTCAGGTTATATCTTACGTGACACCTAGCCCTGTATTAGAAAAATAAAAATTGAAGAAATGTTTGCACATCATCATGAAGCAGTGGCTCCACATTTAATTTGCTTCACTTTTATTTTCTTGCAACATAAAAACCACTTTGAAACCCTCCCTACTGGAATCGCTGATGACCTGAATTGTAAATGTGCTCAATAAATAAATGTGCTGAAAATAGCACATAGAGAAATGCACAGTTCAGTTTCCCTGGATACTCACTGGGGGAGAGGTTACATCAGGAGGAGTGGACATGTCCCCAAAAAGCTCTAGTTGGGTAACAGCCTGTAAAGAGAAAAAAAAAGAAAAACCATTTCCATTTATCTTTTGAGGAGAAGAAACTGAGAGTTAACTACTTACAACTTGTAAAGTTCATCAGTAACTGCTAGCAATATAAATCCTCCAAAAGCCATGTAGGCTTCAATTGTCAAGTTCCATATGGAGGAAAGCACATGGGTTCAAGCTGTGGGATTTTGATACTGCTGATGGACCTAAATGGCCAGCAGCTGACCCTATAAAATGATTCTGTAGGGAATTCTCCAGCATAAAAAAATGAATAAAGTGTGAAAAAAACTATCCTGAATGGGACTGGATGCATTACTGCTCTGCACTTAACATCAGTGAGCACCAAGCATGATTTATGGCCAGTTCTTTTCCCTGGCTCATTTTCTAAGCCCCCATTTCAAGGTCTTAAACATGGCAGTAGATTGTGGAAGTGACGGATACAGAAGAGAAAGGCTTTTAAAGTGCTACCTGATTTCCCCTTGCCCATGGGACAGGTGTGACCTGGATAAGTGGACTTGAAGGAGGATGCACAACTGGGTTATTGTTAAGTTTGTAGCTCTACATTTAACTCACGCAGGGCATGTTTTCTCAGGGTGTCCTTCAGTTTGATCTCAAAATAGGTCACCCATACAGGTCTCACTCAACTGGACCAGAAGAGAAAAAACACTTTCATAATAAGGAGCACCTTGAGTTGCTATATAACCAAAGGTCCTTCACATGTTCTGGAGTAAAATTACTCCCTTCCATCCATCTGCATCTGCAAATCAGTTCAGCTTGAGTCCGGGGATGGTGAAGCACGGATCCCTTAGAGCTCTGCAGGAAACCTAAAACCCATCTACCATCCTTATCAGGGTGGCTATTCTGGAAAGCTTTGTTGGGAACTCACAAACTATTCCTTCTCCACGACCTTTCTTCTGCTTACTGGCTCTCCTTCTTCCCTCTATCATACTTAATCACACTGACACGTGTGGGAAGCCACAATTCTCATTACGAATGAGATTTAATGCAAATCTTAATTCAGTTCATTGAATCCCCTCCCCAGTTTAGGCACATAAACCTTGCAGCCTCCTATCACATATAGAGGTTTGGAACTCAGTTGAGTCTTGACCTGCAAAGGCAGCCACTTAGGGCTTTGGACATTAACCACACTGGCTGGTCAGTCTTTACAACCTACCAAAGGAGCAAAATCGCCCTAAGAATTTTTCCCACCCTCAATCTTCTATTATAAATGATCCTTTAAGAAATACGACTGTCATTCAAAACATAGTAATTTCAAAGGTTTATACATTTTTGCAATCCAATCTCTATTCCCATATACAAGAGCAATGCTACAATCTCTTAGACCTGGAATTTGTCTTGCAACTTCGATGATTCTCAGCTTTATGTCTAATGACGTACCTAGGGATGAATTATTTCGTGTTTCCTCACATCATGTCTTATATTAAATAGATCACATTACTTTAGTGCTATGACAATATATTTTCTTCTTACGGGCTTACATATCCCTCTAAGTATCTATGTGGAAATGGAAGAAGGAAGAAAGAAGAAAATCTATGTTTTCTTCAGGTTATGCTGATTCCAGTGTACATTGCTAAAATACCGCTAGAAGTAGCTTCTGCAAAAAAAAAAAGCCCGTAACTCACTTCTGTAGTGTGTGCAAAAACACTAGGCAAGCACTGTTAAAATGCCCAGAAAAGTTGGAATAATGACAACAGTAGCACTCGTCTGGAAATCACTTCAAGCCTCCTGTAGGCACTACTGACTCAAGAGATGCCAGGTGACACCAAATCACTGAAAGAGCCACTTTCTTCTCATCTCTCCAAATTGCTTGTTCAGCATCACGCCTAAATCTGCCCTTTTCCTGCATCACTGGTGAGCTTTTCACTGTTTCCTCATCTCTGGCTTGCTAAGAAATAGCTTATGTCCTTTCGAGGAGACCGTGAGGAAAGGCTTCACCAGTGTTTCCATCCCAGGTGAGGAAGCAGGAGAGCAAGCCAGAGGGGATGGGGAAAGGCAAGGCACACATGATTACACAGACACACACTAAGAGGAAGTGTCTGTAAAGTTACATGTTTTTTGTGGAAAAATATTATATGTTTCGTATCAGCACTGAAAATTGATAGTGAGTATATTTTTCAACCCAGGATTATATGGTATGCATTTGAAAGGTGGCAACTCAGACCTCTATGCCTCAATACTCCCGTAAAATGGGAATAATAATACTTTTCAGTGCTTCAAGGTGATGGATCTTTGGAAACTCTTCGCAGATATAATTCTGTTAAAGCTGTTAAGAGAACTCCGCAGATGGATTTCTAAACAGGCAGCTGGAGAGAGTGATAGGAAAGCTGACTTCACTATTTGTTGTAATAAACCCTCATTCACAATATGCCCCAAGAAAAAGGAATATATTTACAGGGAAATTATTTCTTACAGAATAGCAACCTTATATGCAACAGGAGCTACAGAACTATGTCAGAGGATATAACAGAAATTTAGTGGGAACACAGCTTCCTCATTTACTTTAAGTAGAGACAACTTTAAACAGCAACACTTGGAGGTAGGATTTTAAAGTCCCAAATGATTCAGATCTGGATTATGGATCTGGCTTTTTTCTACAACCCAGTTCCCAGCCTGAATAAATGAATACATCTTCTCTGACATAGATGTAATTTTATCCACTTGCAGGATATGAGATTCTGGACACCAAATAGTTATCTTTTATTTTTGTGATTTCACTGTCACTACAGAAGTGATGTCACCCATTATGCTTTTTTAAATTATTCACATCTGATATTAGCTACATTCCAGTGAAGTTAATCCCAAGCCGAACATTTTCAAATTGCACAATTCCTATAGATGATTTCATCTATACTTCCTTAAAACATTTTTAGTGTCACAACCTTACCTGAGTGACTGAAACAAGATTTTCATCAATGTCCAGCAATAAGTTTCCATTCTGCAGCTGTAAAGCATGATTTATGAAATGAAATGAATGATTTATGAAAATGACATGAATTTCTGAGCATGAAAATGATAATCCTCCATAATTATTGATTTCAGTATTGAAATGAAAATCCTTTCCATCTTGCAGTGAGCACAGATATGAAATCACTTAGTCAAAACAGTGAGTTTGAATGCTTTTGGAAGGTGGGGCAAACACACACTTGTGCTAAATCTCATCTTCTGGTGTATAAGGCAATTTTACTGCTTGCATCGTAACTATTTATTTTCCCAGATATTTATTAATTCAGCAATAAGCATATCCAGTGAGATCTGATCCTGCTTACACCAGTGGAACTTTTCACTCGCTTGGTGAAAGGAAGGACTTAATATCCTCAGGGGAAAAAAGAAAAAGAGTTTTGGACAACAAAAGCTCTAAAAGCAAGTATTTGCAGAAAAACACAGCTTCCTCTTAACTAAGAGAACTATAACATCAATGTAAACATATTCAAGATGAATATTTTCTTTCCATAGTAGTTTTTAGAATTGCTTACATAAGTCAACTCAAGTTATATTCAAACCTACAGTTTGTGTGTGTGTAAATATATGTGGGAGTATACTGCCCACACATGCATACATATCTATATCCACCTACATATTTAACACAAATTATCACTTCAGTGTCCTCAGAATGCTAAATTTCAGATAACATTTATTGTAGTGTTGGAGACTTTATTTCTTAAGAAACAATCACAACAGCAAATTATTGAAAATCAAGTCTTAGATGACTGAGAAGTTCCATACAAGTTACCAGGGAGTGATCCCATGCCACCTTAAAACAAAGAAGTTTAAAAATCTCAGGAACAGCCTAGAATGCTTTCCCAACCCCAACTCATCACAGACCTGAAGGGAAAAAAAAAAAAAAAAAGACTGGCAAAAGGCAAAGCTAAAGGAAGAAAATGCCGTTGTGCTCAACTAGGAAAGGACCCAGTCCAGTACCTTCTTGGAGCTGAGAGTGTTCCTCCAGCCCCAGGTAAGGAAAGTGTGAAAAAAGCTGCGTCCATTTATTCAAAGAACTCCACAGACCTTGAAAGTATTCTTAAAATGAAACCACATTCAGGAAGAACCAGTTTTGGCCAGCAGTTAATCACTTTTTGTTCTGACAGTCCCCTCGTTTAACCCCCCATCCTCCAGCATCCAGGGATGCAGCTCGCGTCACTCTGAAGCAGATCGTGCCCCCAGCCACACCGATCGCTCTGCGAAACCAGCTGAGAAATAACCGTGTCTCAGCACAGAGGAAACATGTGCGCAGTGTTCAACGGACCATTAGAAATTCCCACCTGTGCTACAGCGGGACCTTGCAGAAAACATTTGCCCAACATGTCACGGCACATCCCCAAGTGCCCAATTATCATGTAGCACTTGAGCTCCATCTTCCATTAGCTCGCGTTCTGCATCACACGCTGGTAAGGAGACACTTCCTAAGGGTGAAATATCCCTGCCTGTTACAGCATGGAACAGCCTGCAACGGCGACCATGCCGAGGCTGCAACACAGCTACCGAAGGCAGAATTTGCCCATTCAAGCCTTCCTCCAGTTCAGCTTTTTGATACAAAGTGCTTAACCTTTGCAATTAAAGTCAACAGTCCTCTCCCTCCTTCCCCAGTGCACGATAGAAAATAACCAGAAGCCTGGAAAGATGCTCCAGTCCTTGATCTTTCTCTAGGATTGCTGTCTGTGGATTACTCCACAGAGTGATGTAAAAGCTTGCCTTAATTATTCAAAAATGCATCTCCTTGAATATGAAAACACCCCTACAGCTTAGTCAACCAGGAACACACCAGTCACTTGCGACCAGCCACGCAGACCGAGGTGGAGGAAAGAGTATTAATCCTTGTATCGCGGTGACATTAAACCTATAATGAAAGCTCCATCTTTCTATACAGACATGTGAGACATATTGTAAATCTTTTAAACATGAAATATGTAAATCTGGCTTCTTAAAGCAGTAGCAAGCTTTTTAAGCCACCCCAGCCAGTAATGAAATTCCTCGTGACACTT